CCCCGGCCCCGGCCCCGGCCCCGGCCCGGGACACTGGCTGCGGCCGCCGCCCGGTGCCCCCGAGCCCGAGCCGGTGAGTAGGGGCCGGGCGTCCCTGTCCCGGGAGGACGGAGCTGACCCCGGGGCCAGCTAAAGGCGTTGCGGGGCGGTGGAAGCCGAGCCGAAGGGCTCTCCAGGCTGCCCCACGGACACGGCGGGCGCGGGGAGTTGTAGGGGGCTTAGCTCTGGGGGGCAAGGACTCGCCCCGACTCGGTGGCCTCGTGGAAGTCGGCGGCGCTGCGGCGTGGCGTGATGCGCCCCTTGGCGGGGCCGGGGCCTGTCCGCGGTGCCGTGTTAAAGGGCGTCTCTTTTTGCACTTCTGCAGAGTCCCGTCTTCTCCCCCGGCCCTCTGCTCTCCGGCGGCCCCCCGCGGCTCTGTCCTCTGTCCTTTGGAGAAGGCGTCGAGCTTGACCCGGTACCGCCGAAGGAAGTCAGGTAAATACGGGCCTGCCGTCGCTTGGCGCTGGGGCAGCGCGGCCGCCTGCAGCGGTTGGCACCTGAGAGGAGAGCTGAGTTTCGTAGCGCTGGTTCTCCTCGGCCCCTGCGGTCGCACAGCCCTTGTCATGCGTGTTGAGTCGCCGTCACCCATGTGAAAGGTTTTTCCAGGGGTGGCTCTCCTTATCTCACCTTAGGATGCTTTCTAGTTCATTTGTAGGGCTGCTAAATTCTGCTTAATCTCTGGGCTGGTAATCGCCAGGGAAGATCTTCAGAAGCGGCAATGACCTGAGAGATTGTTTTATTAGGGGGCAGGAGTGCCACATTCCCAAGCCGGTGGTTTTGCAGCAGATGTTTTTTCTCTTACCAACCCCACGGTGATCTTGGGAACCAGAGGGAAAGGCTCCTAGCCGGAGGGGTGGAGTTTTAGTTTTACTCTTTTTGACCGCAGCGTGCCAGTTCAGAGCACGTGAGTCGTTCTTTGGATCAAAACTGGAAGGGAACAAAGGTCCCAAGTCTCTGCCTGTTCCAGCCCATGTCGAACAGGCAGAGCGATCAGGAACTCTGATAGTGGGACGGGGGCAAACTGTTGCCTTTTGTTTTGAGCTGAGCACACCCAGCTCCGAGTAGGCTGGCGTGGGAAAGAGCGCTTTCCCTGTGCCGTGCACGCAGGCCGTTGCTCCTGGCTCGCATGACAGAACCAGGCGTTTCTTCATGTTGATTTTCACGTCAGAAATGCTCAACTTACTACTGTAACGTTTTTCTGCGTACGGGAGGTTTTTCTTATGGCTACAAAGGAGCGTATCTTGGATGACGCTCCCATGTCGAGAAGGGGGAAGAACGAGGAACTCTCCTGCTGGGCTCTGGAGGGGTAGAAGTGCAGGACACGGTGTCTGCTTCATGAGCATTTACCAAAGTCCGCTTATCCAGTCTCAGTGGGAGCCTCGGCGCCTGGCAGCAGGCACCTGCACTCCGAAATTGTTGTCTCAGCCCCCCGGGACTCAGCTGGCTGCACTGCGGGAGCCCGGAAAGTCCTGTGGGAAAGGAGACAGGACATAGCCCGGTGCCTGGATGGGGCGGGCGCGGTCCAAATGTAAGGTGGGGTGGAGGAGATGGAGGGGCTGCTTTTTCTTTTTCCCCTGAATGAGAGGATAAAGGGTCAGTGGAAAGATGGTTTATTTTCTTTTTTGACCAGGGGAGCAGATCCTCATAGCTCGTTTTGTCTGTAGATTTTGAAACGCTTGCCATTTTCAAGTTGGGGACACTGGGTCCCAGAGGCAAGCAGCTCTTGAGGTGACCCAGGGGCTGGGCCCCAGGCCTGCGCCCTCCCCATGCTGCTCCCTGAAGGGGCCTGCCAAGAGTGCGACTCCCAGCGAGCACTAAGTGGCGCTGACCCGGGTGTCTCTCGTGCTTTCCAGGTACACCTCCTCCGTCACGTACGACTCGGAGAAGCACTTCATCGACGACATCTACATGCCCGTGGGGCTAGGCCTGTCAGCCTGCAGCCAGACCGTCATCTGCGTCCCGGATTGCACGTGGCGCAGCTACAAGTCCGAGGTGCGCTTTGAGCCGCGGAACAAGCCCCTCCGTTTCAGCAGCACCACCATCGTGTACCCCAAGCACACCAAGACTGTGTTCACCACCACGCTGGATTACAACTGCCGGAAGGCCATGCGCCGGTTCTTGTCCAGCGTCGAGCTGGAGTCATCTGAATGCGCTGGGAGCGATTGCCTCCTGGATGGTTGCTGAGCGGCCTCTGTCTCTCTCGCTGCGATCCGTCCCAGTCTCTATCCTGTACTGTACTAGCTCTCCGATAGCTAAAATGGGTAAAAGCTCTCACTGCCCAGTCCGTCCAAGGGAACCTTACCTGTCGCTACCTCTGCCCTGGCTCATAAGCACAGCTTTAAGTATCAAAATGGCCTGCACTTATTTTTCTATGGGAATTTAGCTTTCTAAGGTATCGGCTTTTCTGCCTTTAGAGCTGCAGATTCCCCTCCTGCCGCAGTGCGGTAGTCAGGGAAAAATAAGGGAAATGTGTCGCTAGAGGAAAAATTATTCTCTCTCTCTCATGGAACAGTGGCTACCACCTGGAAAAGTATACCTGACTCTTCACGGCGAGGTGTAAAAACAGCAGCCATTCACTTTTGCTGCGAAAATATAGCTCTCGCCTGAAAACAACAGTCCATCAACTACTTCACTTTTGATCACAGGACTTGGTCTTTCATAATAAAAACAGCAAATCCTGAAATTCTCCAGAATAGTTTAATAGATGGAAAAATCCAGAATTTTATATTTAAACAAATCCCGCCCCCCCCCCCC